GGGTGGCCAATCCTTCTTCCTAGTCTGTCTTGATCTGAATGTTCAGATTTAGAGGAGTATCTGACAGACAGCAATTTGTGGAGCAGTTAAAGATAAATCCCTTATTGTAATCACACCTAGATCAAACATAATAGAGTTAAAATTTCTCAAAACCATACAGATAGATCTAGGTGACCCCCCATGCCACTTAAAAAAGAGTTTTGGATTATCTGTAGCTACACTGAGATCCTTACTTCACCCAACCTTATCCCTAATACCGTATTTGGATTTTTCCTCCATTAAAGAATTAGCTGTAACTTAACTTAAAATATATTTTATCATTGTACCATGAGATCTATAATTAAGATATCTTCTTTAGACACAAATGGATCCCATTCTTGGATTTGAGGACAATCTGGGGTGATAAGATAGGAGGTCGAGTGGGATCTGGAGACATCTCAAAGTGGAGCAGAACCAAGGCCACAGCCATCTTTAGCTGAATCATGGCGAACTGTTGTCCAATGCAATCCCTGCAGGTACAGGGGAAAGAAAGTGATATCTGAATAAAAATGATATTTTTTCTTAGTCATTAAATATGTACTTTCCTTTGAAGTTCCAATACTATAAACAGAAGTCTAAAATACATGGCAAAAGTAACACACTTTTACACTAAATGTACTTGAAACTTCTGAACTTTGGACTTACATAATTCCTTGCAAGAATGTAAGTTGAGAGGCTATAGTGCAATGCCCTTTATGTAAGGTGGCAATGCCCTTCCTGTAAACAAAGTGACTGTTGGAGGCACTCACAGATTGTTTCCCTTGTATTGGGGGTGAGCTGAACTGAGCCCAACAGCTTATATCATCTGGTATCTGAAGGGACAGCAAAACCCCCATTTTTTTATAAACCCCCATTAATGCCAAAAGCAGAAGCAGGCCATAAAAATTCTTAGCTTAAGGCAAACACAGATGCCCCAGGTAAAGTCTTATCTGTCCTTGAAAAGTAAAGAATTAACTAGTGTCTAGTAACACAGAAGGAGTAAAGGCGGACAAAGTAGCCAGCCCTTCAAAAGCTGACCCACATGACTGATCCCCCAACCCACCAACCATGATCTCAATCTCCCTGCCCCAACAGGGGCACCCCCCCCAAAAAGCTATAAAAGCAATTGGGAGGGGGGACTTGGGGCTTTTTCCCTCGCCACCCTCTTGTGGAGGGAGAACGTCTCCACATGTGGAATTAGTAAACGCTCTTGAAATTTTCAGACGTGTGATTGGATTTCCTTTGAGGGGCATTTCATGGGGAGAACAGTATCTATCTGAGGAATGGCTATAAAAGGGTGTGACAGAGAACAGTATTATTCTTTGAAACTAAATGGTATTTTTAGTAGCTCAAATAAGCACCAGGATCTACTTTACAATCAGGTGAGAAAATTAAGTTCCAAGAAAGAATTTACAGAGCTGAGACTCTAAAATGTTGTTCCCAAGTAAACAGCTTCTGTGTTTTTTCAATTTCAAGTTGTCCTCACCTTGGTCCAGCTGAGAATGGTAAAAAAGCATGAGGATGTCGCTGATCAGAATTCTCTGGAGAGAACCGCAAAGGGTCAAAGACCTGAAGTGAGAAGACAATGTTTATCATCACCCCATAAACATGATTAACATGTTTCTTAAACTACTGTTTTTGTTGTTAAATGCCGTCAAGTCACCTGAGGTTCATAGCGACCCTATGTGCAACAGCTCTGAAGCCTGTCCTGTTATGAACCAGTCTCACTTGAGTCCAACACATCTACCCTCATTGCTCTCTTTACTGTATCAATCCATCTCATCTGGGGTCTTACTCTCCTGCGCTGTCCCTTCACCCTTCCGAGCATGATGTCCTTCTCTAAAGACCCTTGAGCAAAGTATGTGAGATAGAGCTTCAAAATCCTAGCCTCCAAGAAGAAACTTGGTTTAAGTCTCTCCCAGACAGACCTATTTGTTTTCTTGGCAGTCCATACCATAGTATGTTCAAGATTCTTCTCCAGCACCACGGCTCAAAGGAATCAATTCTTTTTCTGTGATCCTTAGTTATTGTCCAACTCTTTGAGGCATAGTAAGTAATTGCAAAGACCATGGACTAAATCAGATGCACTTTAGTCTCTAGAGTGACATGGTTGCTTCTCAGTACTCTGGAAAGGTTCCTAACAGCAGATACACCTAATGCAATTCATCTTTTTCTTTCCAGACTGCTGGTGCCAAGAGTGCTGATTGTAGAGCCCAGAAAGCTGTAACTTTAACAACCTCAATCTCTTCTCCATTCATCATGGTGCTGCCAATTGGCCCAGTGGTGAGAATCTTTATCTCCTTGATGTTGAGCTTCAATAAGATGACAGTCCTTGACCTTCTGCAGCAAGTATTTCAGGTCCTCTTCAGTTTCAGTAAGCAAAGTTGTGTCATCTGCATAATGTAGGTTGTTGATGAGTCTTCCTCCAATTCTGATGCCACATTCCTTCTCATAAAGCCCAACCTCCTGAATGATCTATTCTGTATATAGATTGAAAATGTATAGAGGCAGGACACATCCCTGAAGCACTCCCTTCTTGATTTTGAACCATGCAGGGTTTTCCTGCTCTGTTCTGAGAACTGTTTCCTGGTCCAAGTATAGGTTTCTCATAAACACAGTTATTCTGGGATTCCCATTTTCCTCAAGGTTAACCAAAATTTGTTGTGATCCACACAGGCAAGTATTTTTGCATAGTCAATGAAATGCAGATAGATATCCCTCTGGTATTCTTTGCTTTCTACCAAGATCCATCTGACAGTGGTGATAATAGTCAATATTGTTTAACAAAAATACAATGTGAGGCATGTGTGTAATTTAATACCCTCTCACAACCACATTTTGAAAAGGAAAGAAAGAAACAGGTGAAATTAATTTTAATAATTTAACTCAATCATCAGAAATGATCATTGCAAAATGTAAGCAATGCATACTTATCAATAAAAAATATTTTACATTTTTTTCACACTATGCCTTCAAAATCCGCTGTGTAGTTTACCTTCAGCACATCTCTATGCCCACTAGACACATTTTCATGTGTTCAGTAACCACATGCCTCTAATAACTACCACTCTATACCTGCTGATCTTGTTTGGCCTTCCCATTAATTCCTTGGATATGTAGTTTAAAGGGAGAGCAAACACTACATACAGAAATACTATTTTCATTTCTGAAAGTAAGAAATAAGTCACTTAGAAGATGAACCAGTGTTGTTGTTCTTGTGTACTTTTAAATTGGACCTGACTCAGAAGAAAGACCCTCCAGCAGGTTTTCAGAGGAAGTTAACTGTACTGGCTGAGATTTCCCATGTCTTTTGGTTGGCAGTGGAACTCGTTACCATTAAACAGCCAGAGCTGCCAACCAGTTTATAAATGAATTGTCATTGAAACATGTGGCCCAAGTTTTTCAATACATTTAACAGATAATGACATATAAACTCTAGCCACTTATGTAAAAAGAAACATTAAAACATTCTATGAATATTTAGAGTGTCAGGGACATTGAATCAAGCAGCTCAGATATGTGGCACATCTTCTTTTTGCCTCTCCAGAGCCTTTCATATTTCATCCCTACTCCCGTCTCAACATCTACCTCATTCTGTGTTCAGTAGCTGATACACATGATTTATTGCTTTTGGTTAATAAAAGGTACTGGCAGAAGATACGGAAGAGTGGAGGAAAGCGAGTTTAGGGTATTTACTCTCCATCACGTTTTCTGTTCTTCCAAAGGTCACAGTTCCTATGAGTTTCTCCCACAGCTAGCTCTTTCTAGGTTCTAGTTTCCCTCCTTCCATGTTTCATTAGAACTAGTAAGTGTGCCTCTTAATGCTTGTTCCATTTTGTTTTTCTGAAATCCTGCCCATACTTTTATAAATAATTATTAAATGAAACTTTAGTCAAATTCCCAACTGGGTGCATCATTTATTCTCTTCAAGACTCCTGAGTGACATACGCAGCAAAAGAGAGTGAGTTATCAGATTAATTGGCAGTCTATATTGACTCAGTGACTAGGGTAATGGAGGTGGGTGTGCCAGAGACAATAAGATTGGCACAGGATAGAACAAGGTTTAGGGTTGTTCTACATAGGGTCACTAGGAGTTGTGGATGACTCAATGGCACATAACAAAAACAACAACAGCAATAACATGAATGACATACTTTTGCAGATTGTTGTTATGTTGTTATTGTTATGTGCTGTCGAGTCGCCTGCGACTCATAATGACAACAGCCCTGTCCTGTGCCAATTGCACTGACTCCGACACTCCCATCCCAATTATCCCAGTCACTGAATCAATCCACCTCATAGAGGGCCTTCCTCTCCTGCGCCGTCC